TTTTAATTTTATAAATGGCCTCTAAGCCATGGAGGCYTGGACACGCCTATGATATACGCATACAAAGTACTATGTGCTGCCAAAAAAAAAAATGAAATGCTGCGACACTGACAAAGTTTTTCTCTATATGTTGTGGAATGTGCAGGTGTATCGTCCTATTAAATATTGAATACGACACAGCCCACTGGATAAACAAAATATCGTTTAAAATTTGTAATTTCATAATTTTACATTAAAGAATTAACAAATAAAAATATGAATAAATTACCTATCAAAATAAGCAATAATATGAAGTTGTTAAGTGTGTATGTACTACAATGTTTATGTTTATATATAGATGAAATTTGCCGAAAAGGCGATGGGAAAACTCAAAACTCTATTTGTCGAAATATTGAAAGGTGCCCAGTTGCAAAAGAAGGACTCAAAAAAAATATTATACCTCAACTATGTTCATTCAACGGATCAACTCCTATTGTTTGTTGTCCACCAGAAAATAATACTCATCAGCCAATTACTACTACAACGAAAAAACCAAACATAAATCCAGTTTTGAAATCGTATTCTGCCACGGAAAGTATGTATACCAAGGTTATCTGTTTTATAACATACAAATAATATTTTATATAATTTTATTTAATTGTTATTGTTATTTATTTTTGTTTTTCACTTATAGAGTGCAGCGAGTATTCAGAATTAATTTATCATAGAATAAAGGACCCCATATTAATATCAAATCAGGAAAATTACCTAAAAGTTAAAGATTGCTACGATGCCATTACTTTAATCACCAACGGAACAGATGCTAAACCAAAAGAATTTCCTCACATGGTGGCAATATGAAATACTTGATCTTGATTGTTATTGTATTTATAATTTTTATTACAGGCTTTGTTGGGTTATAGTGAAAAACCAGACATAAATTCATGGGCATGCGGTGGATCACTGATAAGTAAGAGATTTGTACTAACAGCAGCCCACTGTGAAAAATTGGGAAATAAATATGAACCGTACATATACTTACAATACTTACATATTATACATTATATATTTCACTTTAAACACTGTAATAGACATATTTTTATTTTTAGGAGATATGCAAATTGGGCTCGCTTAGGTGAACTAGACTATCTCTCGGAAACTGACGATGCCAGACCTAAGGACTATAAAATAGTACAGCGCATAATACATCCAAATTACAAATCAACTTCTTCGTATCATGATATAGCATTGTTTCGCCTAGAAAGAGATGTGGAATTCTCGCCATTTGTACGACCCATTTGTCTAAATACAGATAATATGTTAAGACCTCCAGCAATAATAGCTACGGGTTGGGGAAAAACGGACGTAGGTAAGTTAGTTTTATATAATATAGTGTACTTGTATACATTTATAATTTRTAAATATAGTGGAAATAAAAATATTTAGCTTCACTTCCAAGCTCACATTTATTAAAGGTACGAATAAACACTATTTCGGCAGAAGAGTGCGATAAAAGTTTTTTATACCTAGTAAATAGAAATGAAAAATTAGCACAAGGAATAGTTGATAACTTAATGTTGTGTGCTGGTAATCCAGAAGGCGGAAATGACACTTGTGGAGTAAGTAATTTTTATTTTCATACAAGTGATTATGTTTCTGCATCATACATATTTATTTAATACAATTTATTTTTACAATTTTACAGGGTGATTCAGGTGGTCCAATTCAAATAAAGCACAATAGTTATACATGTATGTATTCACAAATAGGAATAACATCATTTGCTGGGCAATTTTGTGGAGAAAAAGATTCGCCAGCTGTTTATACACGAGTATCGAATTATATTTCATGGATTGAAGGAATTGTCTGGCCAAAAATGTAATGACTATTTKACTAATAAAATAATAAAGCAAAAGTTTGTAGTAAATGCTATTAATCTGCATTTAAAAGTTTGAAACCATATAATTATGTTTATTAAATAGATTTATTTTTTAATTGTTTATGGCAGTGATGAATTCTATTCATCTTTTTAGCTTTATACCTACAATATCTTGTGCATATAATACATAAAAGGTACAAAATGAAGAACGTAAATATATGCATTTTATTTTATTCATAATGAATCTATTTTTATATTTTATCTATCAGCTATTTATATATTATATACACAATAACTGAACTATCGATAAATAAAAAATATGTCAATCAACCTTCTAAACATTTTCAGCATAAAATATTATTTTAAAATTTTTATATACTCTGGCTCTCGAAAAATAATATGTTAATACAATAAATTATTCACTGATAGTGTTATTAAAAAGAAAAATGTGCGTGATTCAACAATATCCGTTTGACGCACGGTTTAGGATAATGGAACGAATACTTATGTGGACTCGTAGTTGTTGTTTTGATCTATTCACGAGATAAGAATATCCAATAACCCATTGTTACATCAAACACGACCTATTGCCCATAATATTACAATGGACAGAAAGATGAACGATTAGCAGTAAATAGATAACTGAAAATAAGAAAACACAGGTATTCAGATGACCTCATCTGTAATCATAATCTGTGCACATCAATGTCAACTGTCAAGTTCAAATCAGTCAGTACCCTTAACCAACCATACAGACATACAGTCAAATTCAACAAATGCAAAATCGTTTGTGACAAAAGTCCATTAATCTAAATGTCCAATGCGAATGAAACAAAAGTGTATACAAGATACAATATACTCATAATATATGGAGTATGGACTACTACAGTGGCGTAGCCAGGATTTCTACTAGGGAGGAGGGGCAAAATAAAATTAAATAAATAACATTCAAATAACAGTGTTTTTAATTTTCCAAATATTTGGAAAATATTGATGATAATGACACACTTATCAATCTACGGTGTTTTGGTAAACAATTAACATTACATTTTTTTTTTAAATTTTAAATCCCAACCGGTACATAGCCAAAATTAATAAATGTATGATTATTTTTTATATATTATATGATACGGCCCATGGGGGGAGGCATAGCGCCTGTGCCACTGGACTATTAAGACTATCAGTTGTATAATATATAGATGATAGGTATTTTGATTGTTAGTATTTTTCTTAATGATAAAAAAAATAGAAATGCGTATCTATAGTCGGGATATTACCTACTACTTATATTTATATTATATAGGTACCTATATTTTGATATTGTATATTGTGTAATGCAATATAACAGTATAATATACATACAAAAATAATTGTTTTCCATTTTTGTTGTACAATATTATATTATAGTAAGAAATTAAGAAAATAAGATATGCATTTTTTGTTAAATCGTGAAATACGATCTATTTTTTTTCTTAYAATAAACATAACTTTTTATTAGTTGTTAAATGCTTACAATATGTAGTCTTGAGAAAATCATTCACTCATTAGTGACACACTGACACGTTCATCCATGTCACAGATTCTGTGAAATTGTACTATTTAAAATTGCAGCACCATTTTATTTTGAGACAGCAGTAATATACATAATATTATATTATATTATATTATGTAAAAACACTAAAAACGTGTTGGTATGATATTGTGTACGTGTACAAGAAATAAGTGTTAGTATGGGGTGACTATTTTTTTTTCTAAATTGAGTTTGTTTACCAAATCCTCCTCTTTTTTATTTTACACACTCGTATATATCAAGTCATATTATACGTATATGATGATGCATTAAAATGCGCATATTAAGCAATAGTAAATTTACAGATTGTACATATTAGCTAGTTAAAATAAAGTATAGGTAATAAAAAAATATAAAACATAAGAAATAAGAGAAAGTAATTAAATGACATAGTAGAATAAATTCATTAAAAAAATACTTTATACTTTCAATTTAAATACATTTTGGTTCATATTTTAAATTAGAATTAATTAAATGCCGAATTTTACTATTCATACCATTGCTGCATTTATTAATTAAAAATGTTATTCTAATACAGGACATATATTTTATAATATACATTTTTATATTCGGATATTACATAAAATTTATTAATTTAAACGACATTTAATATTAATTAATATTGCACTGATTTGTGGAACACCAAATGACATATTATCACGGAAAATAAATTAAGAGAAATTAAGCACTCTGTTGAACTCTGGCCGAAATACACTGATCTAATTAGAAAAAATGAGGTTATGCTTAATTGACTTAGAATAGGCCACACAAAATTCACATGGCAAAGACAGCTCCACCCCTATGCCCAACATGCAATAAAAATTACTMCATCAAACACATCATCGTTCACTGCCCAAACTTCGATGAAGCTAGGTAAGACTTCAACTTCCCTGACAACCTGTACGAATCAATTGGTCCATTTTCTATCTATCAAATCATAATTTTATATCTAAAAAAAAAACGAACTGTACAATAACATATAATAATATAAAAATGTAATACTTTTGTTAAAGCTAAGAACAGCAATAACCTATTTTAGTTTATGCTTAACCAATAATAAAAATAATATTAATTAAATTATACTTCCTATAGTAATTTATTTCATAAAGTTATTATTCCTATGCTGAGATGGTAATTTGCATACATGCATCATACAAACAAAAAAATGCGTTTAAATGTTAATTGAATGTACACGACAGTATTATTGACTAGTCATTAGTCATCACGGACAATTCTTTTGTGCTGCCAGTTGATTCTTAAATTAGATTTTAAATCCAAATGAACTAAATGCACAAAAGTGTCATTAATCATAAATCATATTATATAGATAGGTGTACATCCTAAACCCTTATACGCATCGAATATTGCAATGTTCACGCGTCCTCCTACTCAAGTTCAACAACCGTCTCGAATGTGATGATGATGACTGGTTCACACCATTGTTGGAGATTGATTGGTACGCCAAATTCATTGTCTAATGATAAATAACGATCAAAAAAACCGTTGTAAATACTTTGAAGGATATATATTGGGTCTTTGTGAACCTCTATAAAAGTCATTGTAGAATTTGCATACACATCAGTATCCATTGAGAAGTTCGATAATATACACAACACAGCGACTACAGTAATCATACATTCATACAGAATGATGATCCAAGTAAGTCGGTTATATTATATATTCCACGTATCTAATACGTATTGAGTGAAAATTGTAGGAAACGAGACCAAAGTGTCAATATTTTTAACAACCAAATTTATGGTAGTAGCTAATATTAAAATAAATTTTATCTTCAAGTCTACACTGGAGATACTGTTTAAATGAGTAAAATTTAATTTTTAACATACCTATTATCCTACCTATAAATGCAACTAACCAAAACCTTTATCTTTAGGTATTTTCAATTCTTTTGGTGATCATATCCGGCATCCTTTGCAGTGGGACGCAACAAGGAATATCCAGTACTCAAACTGGCCAGACATTGCAAGTTCAGCCCAATGTCAGAAAGTACAATAAACACACTGCTACGGAAAGTAAGCCTTTTAAATATAAATAACTTTTTTTTAAATAATGGAGCAAGTTTGTTATAACTTATAAAATAATAATTTTTAATTATCATATGAATTTACGGCCAACTTTCTATATAACTATTTATAATAAAAACATACAAGTGCAATCAATACCATTAATATTCAAAATTCATTGTAATATATTATATACTAGGTATATGTATAATATATTTTATGTTTCATCAAGTATATAGCATAGGTATCTATTGGCTATTATTATAAACTAGAATAATTAAATATTAAACTATTGATTTTTTATGCTATACTTTTAACTAACCATTCAATTGATTGAAACTATAGGCTATTTTAATTCATCCACTAGCTGATTTATTAAGGCTACATAGATATTTAGTATAATAAATACAAATATTAAAAAAAAATTCACCTATTTGTTCATTTTTATCTAAATCAGTAGACACCTATTCAATTCATTACTAGTATAAAACAACAATATTTTTTCACTATTAAATATTCAAATATAAAGCCAATATTTAATTGACAAATTAACATTTTTTTACTTTAAAATAATTATTGTTTTATAATTGCGTAGAAAAATAATAATGATTAATAGAAAGCATACAATTTACCTATTACATAGTTCATACCACAACTAACTTTTAAGCGCACTTATAATATTTAGTTAATAATAACCATCAGATATTAGAACTAATATATTACAATATTGTGATACCACATGGGTATTTTTTGTTTAAGTATTTGACAGAATAGAATTTATTTTATACGAATTATAATTTATAAAGTTTGTCCAGTCTTTTCAAATTTTATATTGGATGAAAAATAAAAATATTTCGTTCTAATATTGAATATGGAAGTACCTCAATAATATGTTATTGGTAACTWCTAACTAGTATGCAACCTTATCTTTGTTTTGTCAACTTCCATAAAGACTCTATATATTTTATACTATTCATTTTAGTATCCAACTTAACTTAATTTATCAAGTTATATGTCGGTGGCCAGTCACATTCAATATTGAAATGATAATAAAAAATTTCACTATTCTATTTACTTATAAATTGTTCTAAACATCGAAATACGTAGGTAGTATAGGTAAGCACATAACTATCAAATTATAATAACTGGGTAATCATATTAATACTAGTTAGTAATTTTGTCGATTTTCAATATTGCTACTTGTAGCAGTTGTAGCCTATTGGTATGAAAGAAAATTGTTAGTATAGGTACTAAATAGTTATTACTTAACTTAATCAAAAGACGACTCCACGACTCGTATAGCTAGTAGGTTTAGCATATATTTCACGAATACCACATTATTGATATTAGATTAAATATTTGTGTGATTAAAAATAAGTCATTGRTTTTACAATTACACAAACAAAACTTAAGAAACAAATAAACCACTGTGCATGATTGTGTTTTATTCATTATTTATTTTACGCAAAAATCATACCATTCAAAAATTTAAACCGCGTTGTTTTCCATTATTTTAAGAACCTTGTACCACCGCAGGCTCGCCGACGGGCACGCGTAAGGACAAACCGGACAACTATTCGGACGCACAGGACTACGTGCCCATAGGCGGCGTGGCGGGTCCCGGATATCCGTATCCATACCCGTACCCTTACCAACCATTGGGCCCTTACCAACCAGTCAGTCCTTATCTGCCACCGGGTGGCCCGATTTTAGTGCCAAGCGGCAACCCGTACCGGCCGTTGCAGTACCCGTTCGAACCGCAATACCCAGTGGACGGGGCACCACCACCACCGTACAATTACGCACCCTACTACCCTGCAGGGCCACAGTACGTCACAGCGCCACCACCGTACTATCCCGCCGCACAGCAACCGTTTTACGAACAGCAAGCGACTGTCGTAGACGCATACCGCTCGCCGTTATATCCACCGCAGCCGGCTGACCAGTCGCAGATTTTTAGACAGCCCACCGCCGCTGGAGGCTTACCGCCGTACTTCTCGTCGCCACACTTCAGAGCCCATGCGTACAACAGACAACCACCGTTTCTCCAGCAACGGGACACCTCAGGTGCGCCATATTTTCAGCAACGGGACGCACCATTTCTTCAGCAACGAGACGCCGCAGCTGTCCCTGCTACTCCCGCTGCCGCCACCACGACCACCAATGCCGAATCGCAATACGAACAACAACAATCCGGACAGTTCGACACCAACCAGTTTCATTACTAACGCCACCGATCGTATCAAAAACATTTATTACCTGGTAACCACCACGCCTCATGATAGATTTAGTTTGATTCTGTACATTATTCGCAATACCATATTCCCATAGGCGCCGCCGAGAATTTTGTCAGGGGGGTGCATCGTGCATAGTATACTTTGATTTCTAAATAATGTTTAAATTATTTTAGTTAAATACGTAGAAATATTTTTTCAAATTATATGAATATACGAAGTTATTTTTGTTTTTCGTCAGATACAAAGTTTTTAATAGATAATTAATCTTTTCAATACCATACATTTTTTTTTTTTTGAAGCCAGGGGGTGCAATATTACACCTGCTTGCATCCCCCTCGCGGCGCCCTTGCATATTCCATTGAAAGTTTACAGGTGCAAACACCATATTATTAATCTAAATTGCAGTATTAATAATATATAAGCTATAGTTAAATAAAATATATTGCAATATAAGTATTTTGTATATGTATTTCAGATGTCTACTGCAATGACACCGTACATACACCGATTTAGATAAACGGCATATAATGTATATCTATAATAAATTTCAGTGCATTATATTATTTGTTTCCTGAGCCAATAATATATTCTATTTTATTGGTATCAAAATATTTTTGTGAGTTTTATTCCACTGCGTTTAATATCATTGGATATTTACTAATGGGTAGTGTCGTAATGATATTTTATTAACTGTGTGTTTTACATAAAATCTTTTTTTCAATAAATTTGCAATCTAAATCAAAATATAAGTTTACTTAATTATATACAATATTATAGAAATTATATATTATGTGTATATGTCTGATAATAATATATAGGTGTCAGGTGTGGCGGTGTGCAATATATATTATATTAATATACAAGCAATAATCACTGATGATTGTATTTTATACCAAGTCATTTATAATCAATATTTATTTACGATTAACACAGTATTATATATGTATTGTGACTTAATTTTCTAAATTAAAAACAAAAATAATATATCTATATAAGTAATGTAATATAGTTTTATATCATTTATATGTTGTATATTGCAGAATAATTATTGTTTTAAGTTTTATATTTCAACTAGGCACCTAACTACATATCTACAATTAAGTTCAACATTTTTTTTTTTATTACATGCGATATTTTTTTACATATTAACGCTCGATAGATTTTAGTTTCCAGTTTCCAGATGGTTAAAGATGCATCTATCGCAAATTTAGTTTGATCTAACGACAAATTAAGAATATATTTTAAAACAGGTCTATATCCACATACTGAGTACCATATTTAAGTACTTATAAGTATATTAAGTTATGACTAATTTTAAAACAAAAATATGAAAAAATCTTTACAGTTCATATTCTCCTTTACAAATTCAATACTATGTACATTTTCTCTAAAATTAATTATAATTTATAAGTAAACTGGAATAAGAATCTTGCAGTATATAGATTTACGTCATAAGCCCTCGAATGTACAAAAGTAGTAAAATAAATTTTACTATAATCATATAATATTCATATTTAGTAAAACTCAATGAGACAATAATTGCCTGGAATAAACCAATACACGCAATGACATTTTTTTTTCAAATGACATCACACAGCCATGGAGACTGAACTGTTTGCAGATTACTTAGGCACCATGCAGCATCGTTTATAATATAATAATATATACAACTTAGTATGGTTGTCCCTTTTCCAGTTTGGTTGACTTCGTACACTGAGCAAAGCTAGTATATATGAACAAAATAACATTTTGACGGAGAGGTGATCACTTTGAAACGACCATCTTATTCATATGTTATTTATTTGAAATAATAGAAGTTACTTATAAAACCAACGGGCAATGACGGTCAAATACTCGAATGATTTGGGATGAGTTTGAATTTGATCATCTAAAATAYAATTTATATTTTGTAGTAATAAGATCATATAGCCATATAGGTAATTATTGGAAAATTAATTATGGGGTCATGGAGGATACCTCTTCACCTGTTTTAGCACTGTATTTACCAATAATATAGGTGGTTAGAATATTAACCATTTACATATCTTTTTAAATAAAACTACATTGTCGTTTTTATTACCATATATCTCAATTTGCCTATACCTTAGAGCTTAGAATGCTTAGATATTAGATAATGGTYATTTAGCGGTCAGCTGCGTCTCAATACAATAATGCAATTATTTCACTACGGTCGAAAAGACGAAAAGTGACATTAAAATACATTCATATATTCATATAGTATTATTATTAAGAGTTAAATAAAACTTTTGTAATATTATTTKTTACATGTGATTTACATAATATTTGCAATATAACGTGGGATGGCAAACCTGAAAGATCTTTTGGTCAATCTTATTGTCGATTACAAAATCTCCATGTTAGATTTTTACTCAAAACATAATAACAAAATAACATTATTGGTCAATAATGCCGGTGCCACGCTCGTTCGGTCGATATAAACGTTCATTTGTGACACATAGGGAAATGTCTGAAATTCTGAATTATTTCCTAGTTGCAAATTGAAACTATAATAATATTATACCTATACGGCCAGTGTCACTAGTTCCCGTATAGGCGATGTTTATATAATACCGTGTGTCCCAAAAAACAGGGGCCACTT